TTAGCTACAGAGGAAGCCCCGCCCCACACATGAGGTAGACGTTAGTTACAGAGGAAGCCCGCCCCGCACATGAGGTAGACGTTATTGACCGGATACTCACGGTGGTGACACACAATACGGCTCCAGACAAAGCCAGCCCCACACATGAGGTAGACGTTATTGACCGGATACTCAGGGTGGTGACACACAATATGGCTCCAGAGGAAGCCCCGCCCCACACATGAGGTAGACGTTAGCTACAGAGGAAGCCCCGCCCCACACATGAGGTAGACGTTAGTTACAGAGGAAGCCCGCCCCGCACATGAGGTAGACGTTATTGACCGGATACTCACGGTGGTGACACACAATACGGCTCCAGACAAAGCCAGCCCCACACATGAGGTAGACGTTAGCTACAGAGGAAGCCCCGCCCCACACATGAGGTAGACGTTAGCTACAGATGAAGCCCACCCCACACATGAGGTAGACGTTAGCTACAGAGGAAGCCCACCCCACACATGAGGTAGCCGTTATTGACCGGATACTCACGGTGGTGACACACAATACGGCTCCAGAGGAAGCCCCGCCCAACACATGAGGCAGACGTTATTGACCGGATACAGTGTCACGGTGGTGAAACACAATATGGCTCCGGAGGAAGCCCCGACCCACACATGAGGTAGACGTTAGTTACAGAGGAAGCTCGTCCCACACATGAGGTAGACGTTAGCTACAGAGGAAGCCCACCCCACACATGAGGTAGACGTTAGTTACAGAGGAAGCTCGTCCCACACATGAGGTAGACGTTAGTTACAGAGGAAGACCACCCCACACTTGAGGTAGATGTTAGTTACAGAGGAAGCTCGCCCCACACATGAGGTAGACGTTAGCTACAGAGGAAGCCCCGCCCCACACATGTGGTAGACGTTAGTTACAGAGGAAGCTCGTCCCACACATGAGGCAGACGTTAGTTACAGAGGAAGCCCCGCCCCAAACATGAGGTAGACGTTAGCTACAGATGAAGCCAGCCCCACACAGGAGGTAGACGTTAGCTACAGAGGAAGCCCGCCCCACACATGAGGTAGACGTTAGGTAGACGTTAGTTACAGAGGAAGACCTCCCCACACTTGAGGTAGATGTTAGTTACAGAAGAAGCTCGCCCCACACATGAGGTAGCCGTTAGCTACAGAGGAAGACCACCCCCCACTTGAGGTAGACATTAGTTACAGAGGAAGCTCGCCCCACACAGGAGGTAGACGTTAGCTACAGAGGAAGACCACCCCACACTTGAGGTAGACATTAGCTACAGAGGAAGCCCCGCCCCACACATGAGGCAGACGTTACTGACCGGATACAGTGTCACGGTGGTGAAACACAATATGGCTCCAGAGGAAGCCCCGCCCCACACATGAGGTAGATGTTAGTTACAGAGGAAGCCCCGCCCCAAACATGAGGTAGACGTTAGCTACAGATGAAGCCCGCCCCACACATGAGGTAGACGTTAGGTAGACGTTAGTTACAGAGGAAGCTCCCCCCACACATGAGGGAGACGTTAGCTACAGAGGAAGACCACCCCACACCTGAGGTAGACATTAGTTACAGAGGAAGCCTCGCCCCACACATGAGGTAGACGTTACAATATGGCTCCAGAGGAAGCCCCGCCCCAAACATGAGGTAGACGTTAGCTACAGATGAAGCCAGCCCCACACATGAGGTAGACGTTAGCTAAAGAGGAAGACCACCCCACACTTGAGGGAGATGTTAGTTACAGAGGAAGCTCGCACCACACATGAGGTAGACGTTAGCTACAGAGAAAGCCCACCCCACGCATGAGGAAGACATTATTGACCGGATACTCACGGGGGTGACACACAATATGGCTCCAGAGAAAGCCCCGACCCACACATGAGGTAGACGTTAGCTTCAGAGGAAGCCCACCCCACACATGAGGCAGACATTATTGACCGGATACTCACGGAGGGGACACACAATATGGCTCCAGAGGAAGCCCCGCCCCACACATGAGGTAGACGTTAGGTAGACGTTAGTTACAGAGGAAGGCCACCCCACACTTGAGGTAGACGTTAGTTACAGACGAAGCTCGCCCCACACATGAGGTAGACGTTAGGTAGACGTTAGTTACAGAGGAAGACCACCCCAAACTTGAGGTAGATGTTAGTTACAGAAGAAGCTCGCCCCACACATGAGGTAGCCGTTAGCTACAGAGGAAGACCACCCCACACATGAGGAAGACATTATTGACCAGATACTCACGGTGGTGACACACAATACGGCTCCAGACAAAGCCAGCCCCACACATGAGGTAGACGTTAGCTTCAGAGGAAGCCCACACCACACATGAGGAAGACATTATTGACCAGATACTCACGGTGGTGACACACAATATTGCTCCAGAGGAAGCCCCGCCCCACACATGAGGTAGATGTTAGCTACAGAGGAAGACCACCCCCCACTTGAGGTAGACATTAGTTACAGAGGAAGCCCCGCCCCACACATGAGGGAGACGTTAGTTACAGAGGAAGCTCGTCCCACACATGAGGTAGACGTTAGCTTCAGAGGAAGCCCACACCACACATGAGGAAGACATTATTGACCAGATACTCACGGTGGTGACACACAATATTGCTCCAGAGGAAGCCCCGCCCCACACATGAGGTAGATGTTAGCTACAGAGGAAGACCACCCCACACATGAGGAAGACGTTAGTTACAGAGGAAGCTCGTCCCACACATGAGGTAGACATTAGTTACAGAGGAAGCCCCGCCCCAAACATGAGGTAGACGTTAGCTACAGAGGAAGCCCCGCCCCACACATGAGGCAGACGTTACTGACCGGATACAGTGTCACGGTGGTGAAACACAATATGGCTCCAGAGGAAGCCCCGCCCCACACATGAGGTAGAACATGGCACCATCACTACTCTGCACCAGAAGGTAGGCGGTGGTCTTGGTCAGGTAAGGTGGGTAATTGTTTTCATCTTGAGGACATAGACTTGGGTCAAGGAACCACATCTGTTGTACAGCTGCCTTCGTGGTGATGTTGACAACTCCACGCTGCATACCTGAAATAAGGGAGACAACACTTTCATAACAACTGATCTAGTCAACCATCATGCCTAGCTAGTTTATCATGTTGGTGTATTGAGCATAGCTTTTGAGTTTAACTTCTGACAAGGTTTAACTGATATGTGTGTTATATTGGTATATTAGAACTATCCTATCTAATATCACGTAGATTGGAGATCAATCAGTAAGACCAACAAGTGAAAATTTCGGCTGAGATGATGAATCTGCCGAGGATCTAACTGTAAACTTTGATATCCTTGTGAGATCCAGGTATTTTGTCTCATACAATGAGGTCTCCCGAGACTAGTCCTTTGACCTCATTGTAAGATCCAAACCAACCAAATGATATGACTAGAGGGTTCAACACTAGTGATGACCTACATAGGAATGTTCCCTGGGGTCAACCTAATGATATGACTAGAGGTTCAACACCAGTGATAACCTACATAGGAATGTTCCCTGGGGTCAACCTTATGATGTGACTAGAGGGTTCAACACTAGTGATGACCTACCTAGGAACATTTCCTGTGGTCAAACTTATGATGTGACTAGAGGGTTCAACATTAGTGATAACCTACCTAGGAAAAGTCCCTGGGGTTAAACTTATGATGTGACTAGAGGGTTCAACACTAGTGATGACCTACCTAGTAACATTCCCTGGGGTCAACCTTATGATGTGACTAGAGGGTTCCACACTAGTGATGACCTTCCTAGTAACATTCCCTGGGGTCAACCTTATGATGTGACTAGAGGGTTCAACACTAGCAATAACCTACCTAGGAATGCTCCCTGAGGTCAACCTTACGATTTCGATTAGAGGGTTCAACACTAGTGATGACCTACCTAGGAACATTCCATGGGGTCAAACTTATGATGTGACTAGAGGTTCATTGTCAGTGATAGCCTACCTAGGAATGGTCCCTTGGGTCAACCTTATGATGTGACTAGAGGGTTGAACATCAGTGATAACCTACCTAGGAATGCTCCCTGGGGTCAACCTTATGATTTCGACTAGAGGGTTCAACACTAGTAATGACCTACCTAGGAACATTCCCTGGGGTCAAACTTATGATGTGACTAGAGGTTCATTGTCAGTGTTAGCCTACCTAGGAATGGTCCCTGGGGTCAACCTTATGATGTGACTAGAGGGTTCAACATCAGTGACAACCTACCTAGGAATGATCCCTTGGGTCAACCTTATGATAAGCCTAGGGGGTTCAACAATAATGATGATCTACCTAAATGCAGACTAGTATTATGATTTGATTTGAGTTTGGTTGACCCAAGAGCAGGATTTCAGATCCAACAATTATGTACATGTCTATAGTCATGTGGTGACATCACCTACCTAAGTATCGGTCCCATACAACCACATTTCCTGAGGCCAGTCCTATGACCAGTAGATTTGAGTCTGTTGACATCGTAGTGGCAGTAATCTTACTGGTGAAGGGCCACACCAGATCTGGCTTCATTTCTCCATCTGTAATAGCATATAGAGGGTTTTTTACTGGTTGGTACAATGTTCAGTAAAAACTTTGAAACAGGTCAGATTATTCATTTATGTCAACATAATCTCGTTATTTACTACCAGTAGATACCAACCTCAATCTGTTTTGTGGTCTAGATTATTTGAACCGTGTTATGCTTTTAGGTGACAGTTCAACTTGCGGTTTGGTATGATAATATTGAGAAGACTATGGTAAAGTGACAGCCCAGCATCCCTGCCCAACCCTAAATCTTTACTCCACTCCACGCCTAATGTTTGTGATCTTCATTTTAAGAACAACAAATTGACTCATCATTGTAACTAAGAGCAGAATGAATGGTTTATAATCAATAAGAATTAATACACTGACGTATGACTTACCTTTTGCTGGTTGTTTGAATACTGAGTAATGGTAGAGGTGAGTGCTGTTCTGCCACCACACAGCAACATTGGTCGGGCTCCCTGTACATAAACAGATATAGAGACAAATACAAAATAAATCAGGAAAATCAAAAATGTGCTCAACCTTAAAAAGATTTCTTTTTCTGAAACAATGTTCAAACATTTATACCTGTCATTATTTATACAATACCTGGATGGTTTGGAGATTCTTGTGAGTTGTGCATCAACCGACCAGATGTCATGAAATGAAAGTTAACATCTCTGAAAAGAGAATATAAAACACTTGTTGATATTTCTTAACAAACTGGATTACAATGGACTAGGTGTGGCCCAAAATTCCAAAACCTTCAAGTAAATTTTTAAATCAGTGCTTTCTAAATTTCAATACTTTCCCAATACTATATAAAAATGCCATTTGTGTTTTAAATTATGGTTGCCAAGGTAACCAGTAGAAATTTGCAAACTTAAAGTTTGTTCAAGCATGTGCTCTATAGTTTTAAGGCGGAAAAAAGCAAAAACATGACAAACATAATATAAATATTTAGTAAACAAGTAAATATTTCCTGAGTTTTGATTGATTCGAAGGCAAGAAAGGACCAAACAACACAGTTCTTTATCTTTCCAGAGAAAACACAATATCTCCATAGAAATCTGAGGAGCAGAAACAGTTTCTATTTTTTTTGAACATAATTTTTCTATAAAACATTTCCTCCACCTTTTAGATGTCACTTTATTGCTCCATTATGGTTATTTCTGTTTTATTGAATCCATACCTTATCAGATCGATCATCTTCTCCTCCTTTGGAAGGTAGTCTAACATGTGTTTGTAGTTATTTTCAAATATTTCAGCCCTCTGTTCCAGGTGGCTAGAGGTGAGTATATGGTTCTGACCGGTCCCGATCACATCCCCACTGTCCACCTTCTGACACGCTCCATGGGTGGACGAAGCTAGGTTACCTGGACAAAGCCATAAATGTACAGTCTTTATTCTGCTTCATAGTAACAAGTTTTCATCTCAGATCCTACATATTACCTTAAACTAAATATCTAGATTTATACTGTCATAGACATTTCATTTTCCATGTTTATAATCACACTTTACAGAAATTTACCTGCAGTCTTCAATTATTGTATTCACATCATAATCAGTAACGTAGTGTGTCCTAGTGCAATATATATATATATATAATACGTTGGGGGTTGGCGATAAAGAGTTATGCTAACAAGGGTCATAGGTCATGCCCTTGATCCAGTGCAAAACTCTTCTTCGCCATGTGGCGGTTTTTGCCCCCCTCCTGCGATAGTCATAGAATCACTATTGGATATTGCACAATGACTACATGTATTTTAGGTCAGTGTGTAGTGACATGTAGTGTATACATGTTTGTTCTTTATGTCGTTTTGTGAATAAACGGCCTATTTCATATCACACTGGTATTACTGGTTGTCATTTGCTTTTTGTATAATGAGTATGGCTTGCTGTGTGGCTAGTGTAAAGAATCGCACACTATAAATATATATATATATAATATCCATTTTCACAAAGAAATATTTGCTTCACTATGAAGATTTGATCCCCAGATCATAAGATTACAAAGCAGACAACTTTACCACTGTGCCACCAATAAATGATTCCTGCAAAAGTACTAGGGATAAATCATAAATGTTCAAACTCCTTTAAAAGATCCAAAGGTTATAAATGTGTTTGTATGAATATTGAGTAAATAAAATTTAGCAATAAAATTGCTCTTTATTGTCTGTATACAGTAGAAAAGTGGGGGGACACTCTACCTGACTGTCTCAATATCATACAATCAAGTATTATAAACAGGTATACTACCGTGACAGAGAAATATGTTAATAACCTTCTTAATTTGAACAGAGCAAAAACAGTTTTCATCAAAAGAATAAAAAGTGCAGAACAATAACACATGTCATGTTTAACAGAGGGGTGTGGAGACAAACACGGGAAACAGGAGGATGTACACAGGATGTCATGTTTAACAGAGGAGTGTGGAGACAAACACGGGAAACAGGAGGATGTACACAGGATGTCATGTTTAACAGAGGAGTGTGGAGACAAACACGGGAAACAGGAGGATGTACACAGGATGTCATGTTTAACAGAGGAGTGTGGAGACAAACACGGGAAACAGGAGGATGTACACAGGATGTCATGTTTAACAGAGGAGTGTGGAGACAAACACGGGAAACAGGAGGATGTACACAGGATGTCATGTTTAACAGAGGAGTGTGGAGACAAACACGGGAAACAGGAGGATGTACACAGGATGTCATGTTTAACAGAGG